CCGCGGCGAACGTGAAAAGACTTAAAGTTTTGGGTGTTTGGAAATTAATAGTAAGTTGGCAGAATATTTCTAAAAATGTAGACGACTGTAAACGGTTTTAGAGCGGAGGTCGCAGTGATTTTTCATGCTGTGGAGATCAAAGCCAGCAAAATCAATTTTGTGAGGTCTGAGCTAAGGAAATCATGTCCAATAGTTACAGTAGGATTTTTAGATTAATTCGGACGAACGAAAAGTCTGATTTGGTATGGTTTTATCTTATTATAGTATATGACTAAAACAGTTTCCACATGCAAGTTTTAGGCTAGACTGTCCGTATATTTTCATCGGACGATGATGACGCCACTGAAATTAAAAATTTAGAAAAAAAACGTCGAATATGAATGGGGGAAGATCTTCGGGGGTGCTATAGAGACTTTGAAAAAGCATTTGACACATGCACAAGAATGTACAGTTTCGAAAACCACAAAATACTCTAAGAATATGCAGCGTGTATGCGAAATGTTTGATTTGGACTGAATTTACAGGAATCTATTAAAGTTTTGAACGGAAGCACTAAGGACGGATAGCTCAGTTTTCGCCTATGGCAACATTAAAAAAACCTTGGTCTCAAAGAGATAGCAATTTTATTAAAGGCACTAGATACATGAAATGTCGATTGAGCAAAAACAGTGCTGTATGCACAAGGGTAATGCGCGAAATTCTAAAGAAATGGGCATTGGAAAATTTCACTGAGAAAAACAAGAACTAGACCAAAAGAAAACCAAGAGAGGCGTTCGGGAATGTAAAATGAATAACTGAATTCGATGTGTATGGGTGAGCAGACGTTAGGGTGCGCCGGATAAGGCATTATAGTGGATGGTGACGAATTTTACAACCTTGAACAACCGTGCTCGCCAGTTTGAGTAGTCAAGTACCAAAGAATTAAAGAACAGCTAAGAAATTTGCTCGACAATGTGGAGCTTGAATTTGAACTAAAGAATTCTACATTATTTCTACAGAAATGAGCTTTGGGTTTCGCATAAAAAAGCAGCTACTCGTCAAAAACGCAATATATTTTAATTATTTTCGTTCTTGCCAGCTAGTGCAAAAAACGGCAACGCATGGTACAATCAGTGTGCATTGATCGAAACATAATTTTCTAACAAAGAGTTTTTTGCTTCCCTTCTACCTTACAAACTTCTTATTTGCAGCCGCATATGAAGGCTGGCCAGACGGATTTCTTACGAAAACTGCTTACCGTTGTGAGCGAAATCTGAGAATCGACCAAGAGGTACCTTGCGAGCAGAAATGATGCGAGTGAGTTCTTTCACGAACTGCCCGCTCTCCCCAATTGACAGTAGTTAACTATGACAGACAGCTGGTTTGGACTACGTATTTGCATATCAAATTTTATTTTTTTACGGCTCTGACGTCGAAACGAAATAAACCAGTCGGTAAATACGTGCAATTTAATAGATGATGAGTGGCACGCTATTATAATAGTGTAATTGTTAAATTGTTCTTACTGCAGAGGTAGAGGACTTTAAAACAAACAGGCGAAAAGGATGAAAATAAAACGGGAGTAAAAACTGTAAAAAAGAAAGCAAAAACCGATGCTGACAAAACGGTGCATTGCACATAAAATTCAAGTTGGTAAAGATTTTGATAATACCATATTCATAAATTCCCCGAAGTAGCTCCATCTTGAGACCCATTTTTTTAAAGGAAGGCACAACTTTTACATCCTCAGAAACGCAAATGTCCTCGTAACATTCCTCAATCCCGATTTTAGAACCCTGTAAAAGCCGCTCGGACATGATCTTCGACAGTGCTGCGAAAAAGACATGTGTTATTGAAGTTGCTTCATGAATTTGAGAGAATTAAAACATCGATAGTGTATATCGGCACAATTAAAAGAAGCAGTGCGAAAACTCTTACGATGAAAGCGAGAGCAGAGTTCAGCGAGTCTGCAATTAAAAAAACCGTAGGTGAGAAAACTGCTTCTATAAAAATTAGTAGGTTTATTGCACCTCAATTTCAACAAATGCCATGGTATCCGCCTTCGGCCTAGTTACGGAAAAATGATACCATTTAAGTATGACTACTTCATAGGAGTTCACCAGCTCAGGCAAGTAAATAAGCTAAGGGATCTAGGCGTATGTATGACGCCCGCTATCAAACCTTCAATTCACTTTGCCAAAACACAAATAAGTCTATGGGCATCCCAGAAGCGATCAGAAGGTCCATGCTTTATTTTTGAAGCGGAACT